GGATCAGACCCCTCCCCCCCTCGCCCCTCCCCCATCTATAACTAGCACATCTCCAGGACGGGGGGGCCGCCTCCTCCATCACGTGTGTCACCGTCTCCCCCCGTTTATATCTCCGCAGAATACAAGCGCGCTCGTCATGAGATCAAAAAGAAATCTTCTGATACGCTGAAGCTGCAGAAAAAGGCGCGCAAAGGTAACGGATCCGTCATCGTCATCCTCGTCCTCCTCTTCCTCCTCCTCGTCCTCATTCTCTCATCCTCGTCCTCATCCTCTTCATCCTCATCCTCGTCCTCCTCCTCGTCCTCATTCTCTCATCCTCGTCCTCATCCTCTTCGTCCTCGTCCTCGTCCTCCTCTTCATCCTCGTCCTCATCCTCGTCCTCCTCCTCGTCCTCATTCTCTCATCCTCGTCCTCCTCTTCGTCCTCCTCGTCCTCCTCTTCATCCTCGTCCTCATCCTCGTCCTCCTCTTCGTCCTCGTCCTCCTCTTCGTCCTCGTCCTCCTCATCCTCCTCGTCCTCCTCTTCATCCTCGTCCTCGTCCTCATCCTCGTCCTCCTCCTCATCCTCATTCTCTCATCCTCGTCCTCCTCTTCGTCCTCGTCCTCCTCGTCCTCCTTGTCCTCCTCTTCATCCTCGTCCTCGTCCTCCTCTTCGTCCTCCTCATCCTCCTCTTCATCCTCGTCCTCGTCCTTGTCCTCATCCTCCTCGTCCTCCTCTTCCTCCTCCTCGTCCTCATTCTCTCATCCTCATCCTCTCATCCTCGTCCTCCTCTTCGTCCTCCTCGTCCTCCTGATCCTCCTCCTCATCCTCCTCCTCCCTGTAATCTGTTCATAAGAGTCACGGGACATCCCAGTGTAAATGCCACCCACAGAGAGTGCTAGATCCTACAGCAAGAGAGTGCTATATACACATACTACACCTACTATGGAAGGAGGCGGAACCTGAATGGGCGGTGGTGAATACCAGGACAGACCATTTCCCGGTTAGCTGCCTTATTATGAGCCCGGTGTTCCCGGTGACGGCTCATGAATCCGGTTATCACCAGAGAGGGTTCGGTGCAGCCGGGAAGAGATATGACTCGTGTCGCCATTGCTGCAATGTACGATGTGGACACAATGGCTGACGTCCCCCCACGCAGTGTCCGTCTGTCTCGCATTAACCATTTCCTGTCTGTGGCCTGCTAATGGGGGGAGGAGGGGGCGGGGTCGCTCCTAGCTCCGCCTCTCTGACACTGATCTTCTTTCCTTTTTTCTTGCATGGCCTTCTCCCTCTGACTCCTCCGACTCTCCCTGTAGAAGTTCTCGGTAAGTGTCTCTCGGGGGGGCTTTCTAATCACCTTCCCGTACAGGCAGAAGATTGGCGCAGTGGGCGGGGCAGTGGGCACAGTACACGCAGTGGGCGGGGCAGAATGTTTATGACGTCAGAGTCACATGATTATCAGTCCGTCTCGCAGCACAAAACCCAATTTCATTCTCCTCCATTGAGGGACACAGGACGTCAGACACAGGCGGGTTATACTGCCACCTAGGGGAGGGTTGGAAAAGCCCGCCTCCATAGGGCCCCTCCCACTCCCAGCATGCCTCAGGTTTTTTCTAGTGTCTTTGCTGGGGAACAAGGAGATCGAAGCCCAACATCACAATTTTGCAGCTTCCCATCCTCGGATGTGGCGGCCGCATTCCTTTTCATTTGTCAGGCTGACGACGGGGGACCT